TCCCTCGTCAGTCGTCTACCTGCACACTGGGATGACCCTATGTTTAGCAGAAGTGGCCGAACCTTGAGTTGAATCTGTAGCGTGGCCACTGATGAGATCTAGTCGGATAGAAGAAAGATAGGATAAATCAGATTGCGTAGAAGTACGGGAAATATTCGATTTGCACTCACCCTAAGTTTCTGCCGCTGAGGTCGTTCCAAAGGGTCCAATTTCAGAAATGACTGTTTGCTGTGACTGGACGGAAAATCAGGGGTGCGATTCCGTCGTCGAAACTCCGCCGGCAGCGTCTGACTGAGGTGGTTCGGTGTCGTCAGCGAATCGACTTTGGGGTCGATCACGTGCAGACGGTAATGCTCCTCTTCTCTTTCAACCTGCGAACATCGTTTCGATAAACTTATCAACGTTTTTTTTCGATATCAATCAATCAAGTGGAGCTTACCATGTAATTGGGTGGCCGATCGAGCGGTTTTGTTTCCAACTTTGATTGCCTCGAAAGGCTTAACCCTGGTTCAGTTTTCCTGGTCTTAAAATAAAAACAATAGTCAGTTAAGCGGCACCGTTTCAAGGAAATATATTTTACGACATAAAATAAAGTAAGATAAGATGAGGTAAAATTATCATAATTGGGAACGATAGCCGAATCGACATTGTGAGAAAAAAAATAGCGCAATAATGCACCGATTGTTGACATGACAGAGATAAATGATCAACACCCGTGTCATTTAAATTTGATTTTTTTAACGCTTGGTTTTACAGATTATTAAATTTCGTTATTAAATTTTTTATTGTAAAGGGTATTGAAACGGATGTTTACGGTATAATCTCATGTCTGCGTCGCAAATGGTCGGGAAAGGTGGAGCATAAAACTGCGTGCTTGGCTGAGTTACGTCACATTCACTATATATTTTCCATCGTACGAAATCTTGGTCATGACAGACGTTCAAAAGTGTCAATGAATCCAATGACAAAAATCTTCAAGGCTTTAGTAGCACTTTGGATGTGACCTGCAGCAGAACCTGGGACGACCATGTTCATTGCTATAATTGATTCATATTCGCCAGCACATCATCTGACTTAGCCTTGGCATGTACAAACCGTTGAACTTCATTCAGATTAGTTGACTTGGTATCAGATAAAGGGCATTTAGCAGCTGTTCATTTGGTTTATTGAATACCATTGACACCGGGAAAGCAATTTATACCACTGCTTTTTGTTCCGTATCCTTAAATGTGGAAATCGCTGGCCAAGATCTCCTGCACGCGTCCTACATATGGTTCTAGAATATTGATGAATTGGAAGAGACCTGCTTTGAACATCTCTGTTTTAAGAACTTTCAACGACACCCACGTCTTGTGAAGGGTTCACTATATGGCTGACCAGGAAAATTATTTTTCAGGTACTCCACAAAACAAATGCATCGAGAAAAGTAGACAAGAATCTGCCTACAATAACTATGCACTTATCGCACGGAGAATATAGCTTGAAGAAATATGCAAAAGGCGAAGTTGTGACATATCTGACATACTCTGAGGTACACATGTTTATAATGTTTGTACGGTAGCATATGTGAAGTATATTCCAGCTCCTGGAACACATTCTTTAATGATCATCGGGTGGTTTTAGCGAACAACATCACGCGAAATACCTTTTGAATTGTAGGCGCTCAAATCCATGGAGCGTTGCCTGCATAAATAGCCATATAAGCAACTAGGAGCAGCAGTAATGCAATTCGACACGAAATCAAGTTTGCAAGGAGTTATGCTCATGAATAAGAAAAATCCGGGGAAAAAGTTGTTCTAAGCCTAAATGGGTGGAACTAACTTCTAGCTGCTGCGCCCTGGACAGTCTTCGAGGGGGTTTGCTATTAACAAACGAGTTGGAGCATATTAATAATTTGTACTCGTCATATAGGAAATACAACAAAACACATTTTATTTAATCTTTCGTATGAACCTGTGTCATACAGACCTTCATACCGTTGGAAATAGTATAGCACAGTTAGTACCGACAGGTGGCCATAGCTCTACTTGAATCCTGTCGGTTGTTTACAAACCCTAGCTGGACCAATAGCGGCTACGTTCAGCAACCGTAGGCTTCTATTTTTGAAGAATGTATGTGATAACCGCTGTCCAAAGATCACCGAAATTTGTATTCTTCATAAGCCTTATATACTGCGTATGGTTAAACAGGCCATGCTTTGTTACCATACATTGTCTTTTAAGAAAATATGATTCAATAAGTAGAGTATTTTACATTACAACAGCAACTGTTAAGCAGAGTTGTCATATTATCGTTAGCTCACGTCTAATACCCATGAGAACTGATCGATCGCCTTCAATTGTAACAGTAAAGTGATTGTCTCGCATTGATATTACACCTTAGCTTTGTGGAACTACCGTTTCCGGCCATGTTTTATAACGCACGTAACAACATGCCTGACTTTCTACAACTTGCGCCACCCCAAACTGAAGCCGAAGAATTCCGATGCAGTAGTGGCGACCTGGCTGATGAAGAATTAAACCGAATAATTAGTTTATTGATGCAGACGTCTGTCAGAGAGAAGCAGAGCGCGAAGCTGAACATGTTGTGCTAATTCATTAACGAAATTAATGAACAGATAATACTTCAGCTACTGCACTGTGTCCAATTAAATATATATATATATGCTCTACATAACCCGACCTCAACGTCCCACTCGCGAAGAATCAACAATGACCAAAATACGGAATCGCACTATACAGTGAGGCATGGAACCATCAGGTACGCAAGGGAACCCCGAACTGCGACATTGGGACTGAACCTTCAGCTAATGAGTAATCTTACTTGCAGAACACCACATTTTGTGTGGTACCCGGGATCCCGGTCCGTACTGATCGCTGCAGAAACTGTGGTTGAGCTTCTATATCATTCCGTTACCTCATGAAAAGAGGATGAATACTCACGCCACTTCTGTGAGCAACACTCAAGAAATTCCTGCATAACATTTTCGTTCGAAGTTTCATTCGACGTCAATATGCCTGCGAACGGAACAGAGTTCTTGTTTGTGTTTGTTTGCTACATCATCACCTCCTGTCGTCGCATAGACAGAACATCCCTGGTTTGAGATGACCTCTGCATTGGTGGCTTTTCAGCGCGTTTTCTATGAAACACCGGAAACTGTTTCGTAGACGGAAATGGTTCTCTTCGAAAGCAGATCCACCTTTACCTCATGATTCCTCCAAGTTACGTGCTGGTCTCCCGGCCTACGTGGGCAGCGTTTCTGCTTCCACGCGAGAAGCTCGTGGGCTGAAGAAAAAGCTGCACACCCAGCCAGTCAACTTGACAGGACTAATCTCCTTTTCTCAATTTCAACATCTATTCGTATCACTTGTGCCCGGAAGAGAACCGAATCATTCCATACGTGATTTTGCCATTTAATCCTCAACATGAGTCATAGTCAATGCTGCTGTGCGCAATTCAACCTTCGATCTTGCTCCTGCGTTATTGGACTGCCTCCTGCTGCACTACAACACTAACCTGTTAAAGGCAAGGTGCAGGCGATTTTCGTGGTAAGAGCAATTCTTTTCTAACCTAAATATTGAACAGGTTTCCGAAAGCACCAAAGGCTAAAGCGATCCTTCTATTTTCTGAACAATGCCATCGCTGGAGACAGTGGAGTGATACACTTAGATTAGTCAACCTCTTTAAACACTTCTTCTCCCTCGTCTACTTGTAAATCAGCTGTGGAGGATGGGTCCCAGGCGTGCCAGTTTCCTAAGCTGCGATTTCATACGGAACGGAATATGAAATCTGCAGCCACTGTGTGCAATCAAACCCTTTTCTCAGGCGATGACCGTCATAACAGTCGCACAGAGTGGGTCACGGCAGTAATATGAATTAATTTTCGTCTTATATCACTGTTTAGAGTGAAATAGTTGACGTCAAGATTCAAGAAGAGCAGTGTGGCTTCCGGCCCGGTCGAAGCACTTCTGTCCATATATTTGCCCTGCGCCAGATTGTTGAGAAATCGTGGGAGTACGCCCAGCCGGTGTACATGTGTTTT